AGGCCAAATCATGTCTCATTCATACTTTTCTTCTTATTAAAAAAAAAGTTTCCTTCTTTTAATTGTTTAAATAAATCTATACCTTGATCTTCAACTCTAAATTCTAAATTGTTAAATGTTTAAGAAACCTGCCATTCTTAGACATTCAGAGAGCTAGATGATGCCATGAGGGGAAATGCCCGTTACTCTAATTGTAAATATTCTCACTAATGTTTTCCAGTTTCTTTTCTCCCTAAGCTTACTTCTCTTCAAATAATATAGGAAAAATGTGATTCCATGTGTAGAAACTGTAGGTAGATTTTGACTTATATTTAATTAAAACATCAAAATTATTTTTTTCAAATTAAGAAATATTTAGAATAGTTTTTATAGAAAACATAGTCTGTGCTCTTAAAGATTAAGAAAAAAATCAGAAGAATATTTTAGCAAACCTTGAAGAATCTTTTTTTTTTTCTGAATTAAACTCTATAATGCTATGATACTAAGTTAAAGGCTATTTAGATTCTAAAGCAAATACAGTGTACAAAATACATTCCTCGATCAGAAGATTTTCTGGAAAAAAATAGTCTAGCTAAATTATGCTACCTATTGTAAGCAATGCTGCCAGCTTATTTAGATTCTTAACCTCTAGCAATAACAGATTATTTTGATAAATTATTCATATTTCTGCACTGTGCACCTTTTGCAATTTGCATATCTGGCAGCAAATAGGCTCTCCTTTCAGGCTTCAGTCCTCTTGGTCAGACAGGATGGCCGAAGGCTGCTTCATGATTAATTTCATCTCAGTGGGGTTATTATCATACCGAAATTAGCAATGCCCCTGAAATATGCTTTCCTGGAGCTACAGGCACAAGAGGCTTAGTTAGTTTAAGAGCTTTTAACCGTATAGTAAGTTTTAGCTTAATTGTTAACCTTTCTCTATTTGGGGAGTATGTACACCTAAAAATAATACTGGATTTTACAAGACTAGAAAACAATAATTTAGAGCTTGGTTTAGCAGCTCATTGGATTGCAGGATAATTTGTCATTAGTTTCTAGTATCTTATTTAAAAAGGATGTATACTTTTGAACAATCAAGGAGGTTTTTATATTGCCGGTTCAAAGTTTACTGCTGAATCAATAAATATTAATTTTTCTTCCGGTTTGTGTAAAAGTCATTCAGCTTTTCTATATTTAGTTTTCTCACCTAAGAACAGTCTAAATGCCTTGTACCATTGCAGAATTAGCAAGAGATGGCTTTTAAAGAAATGTTTCCGGAAAACATTTTAAATTCAGTGATTTGGGGTTGGGAAGAACTGGAAGATTTCTTAGAAAATATTTAAAATGTAAGTGTGGTTCTCTACAGTGCTATTATTGTTCATCTGCTGTCCGTTAGTCAAAGACCAATACTAGACTCACAGTGCAGCAATCTACTTGCTGTTAAAGTTATGTGAACCCTACATTTGAAAACTCAGTGGATTCACACTTCACATTAAAAGAAGTCAGAGTATAAACAGAGTCCTGTAGATGAAAAGTTCATGATATTAAACTAATATTTAAACCTATATGCAAAAATTGATTTCTTAACAAAGTAGTTGCAGACTCAATATATTTTCAGTTTGTTAAGTCAGACTGTTTCATGCCTAAGGAATCAGAAGACACTAAAACATTTGGCTAATCTGATTCATGACAATTTGTTTATATAAATACAACATGTTTCAGGAAGCTAAGAATACTAACTATTCTGATAATTTCCTGCTAAAACATTCCCAGGAGACGTATACTGACACTTAAATCTAGGTCCATCCTGTCTCTGATTTTGAGCTCCAGAATATTATTTATGGATTTCAGAATTATTATAAACTTCAGTTGAATTTTCTTATTGTCCTCTGTTCTTATTTAAATCACTATTTTATTTCAAAAATGTAACTATAAAAATTATCTAATAAAAAATTGAAAAAAGGAAAAATTATTTGATATAATAAAATTTTCATTTGGGCTGCGTGTAGTAGAGGCAGTGAGTAATACAGAGGAAATAAGACTGGCCATCACTTGATAATTTTTGAATGGGTGTTGAGAGCACCAATGAGGTTGGAGCTTATTATACATTCGTTATTTTGTTATATATTTGAAAATTTTCCTAGTAAAAGGTTGGTTTCATTTTCAGTTGGCAGTAATCAAAAGGAGAGAGAAAATTATGTATACTGAAAACTTGTTTGTAAAGATTTAATGTGTTTTCACTCTTGTGTAGTGTTTTTTTACCGCTCACTGCTGTGGCCTCTCCCGTTGCGGAGCACAGGTTCCGGACACGCAGGCTTAGCAGCCATGGCCCACGGGCCCAGCCGCTCCGCGGCATGTGGGGATTTTCCCAGACCGAGGCACGAACCCGTGTCCCCTGCATCGGCAGGCGGACTCTCAACCACTGCGCCACCAGGGAAGCCCTGTCTGGCCTTCTTAATGTACATTTATGGTCTCAGAGTTGCTTCCTTCTTAAAGCGTTGGTTTTGAAAATGGAAATACTGTACACTAGCAGATGTCAAATCTGATCACCTCTGCATGTGTCCTCAATAGATTAGAGGCTGACAGAGGAACAGAATGATCAACGGGAGAAGTTATTAATAAGACCCTAAGAAAAGCTCTCCATAATTCACAATTGGGTATACCGGGTGGTCCAACAGAATCGTAGGCATGGAGAACTCATTTAGAATCAGTGGTCTAGGGATTCCCTGGTGGCGCAGTGGTTGAGAGTCCGCCTGCCGATGCAGGGGACATGGGTTCGTGCCCTGATCCGGGAAGATCCCACATGTCACGGAGCGGCTAGGCCCTTGAGCCATGGCCGCTGAGCCTGTGCGTCCGGAGCCTGTGCTCCACAATGGGAGAAGCCACAGCAGTGAGAGGCCCGTGTACCACAAAAAAAAAAAAAAAAGAATCAGTGGTCTAAGAAGACATTAAAAGAAAAAAAAAAAGAGAAAAGATGGGGGAAATTTGAGTATAAAAATGCTAAGGTACTTTATTGACAACTATTTTTAATTTTTTTTTTTTTTTTAATCAGAACTACTCTACAGTTATCTGATATGTTGAGATCTTTAAGTAGCAAAACACCTAGGCAGTTTAGGGTACTTTTGATGATCTTTCCCATGTATTCTTGTATCCTTTTCATTCACCAATTATTTATTAAGTACCCACTAAATGCTAGTTATAGGGTAGAGTAATACTTAGAAATATATTAGTTAGAATTCACTATGTATAAATCTTAATTCTGATTTGAGACCAACTATTCTAGATTTGACAAAGGTAGCACTAACATGATAGTTGCATGTTCCTCCAGGAATAAAAGAAATTAATAATAAAAAGATCATAGGTAGAATGGACTCAATTTAATTTTGACAAAAGATATTTTGTCTTAAGAAATTTAGGAATAAAGTAAACCATATATGTGGATAAATAATATTTCTTTTATACAAAAACACAATGAAAAATTACTATTTTTGTATCATGATTATAATACAAATGAATAATTATCTCACCAACAAGAGGTAAAGCATGAATTAGAAATTAAACCTCTGGTGTTTGGCCAATGAAACATTGATTCTTTGCTTATGATTCTTGGCCATGTTATTCTGATGCAATCTTGTTATTTTATAATTCTAACTAGGATTATAATATTAACCTGTAATCAAAATTTGATGATAATTAAATGAAAGATTATAATATATATGTGTATCAACTACTACATTTACACCTAGCTTAGTACATACAAATAATAGGTCCTAAATAAATATGTGATAAATGAGCAAATAAAGATTAATACCTAAAACAAATGAGCAAAGCTTCCTTCCCATGTTGTTAAATGATAATTCAATTATTGAAAACTTAGTAAAGACAATCATGAACAATTATTTAGTGAAATGTGAAATGATCCATTGCTTTAAAAATCTTTATTTCTCCTTTATTTTCATGCTAATTAATCAAATAATATATTTAAATGTCTATGGTATAAGTGAGGTTTTTTTGGTACCCTGTTTATTTGAAGAGAACATTCTGAACAAAGAAAAAAAAAAAGCCAACGCAACCCCCCTAAGACAAGAGGGAAGAAAGATTCAAAATGAAACTTGCTCATACTCTCACAACACATATTGTTGTCCAGGGCCATGGTTATAGTTGATGGGCACCACAGCAGTGTAGGGAATGACATTTTAGGTCAAAAGCTTATCCTGGAATTTGGTTGTTCTGGGCTTTGTTCTCTTATTAGTTACTCAGTGACCTTCAGTGAGCCACTTTATTTATGTCTTAATGCTCCATGCATTTCAAAGGGCTAATCATACAGAAATAATATACAAAGAATTCTGAGATTTTCAAATTCCGGTGCTAAGGGCTTCCTTGGTGGTGCAGTGGTTGAGAATCTGCCTGCCAATGCAGGGGACAGGGGTTTGAGCCCTGGTCCAGGAAGATCCCACATGCCACAGAGCATCTAAGCCCATGCGCCACAACTCCTGAGCCTGCACTCTAGAACCTGCAAGCCACAACTACAGAGCCCACCTGCCACAACTACTGAAGCCTGCACACCTAGAGCCCGTGCTCAGTAACAAGAGAAGCCACCGCAATGAGAAGCCCACACATCGCAATGAAGAGTAGCCCCAGGTCACCCCAAGTAGAGAAAGCCCACGCGCAGCAACAAAGGCCCAATGCAGCCAAAAATAAATAAATTTAAAAAATCAAATTCAGGTGCTTAATGAATGCAAAGTATTCCATGGTCAGTTAACAGTGAAGCAAAATAGTTTTGGGAAACTTTATTTTATGATTTTATTTGGTTCAGTTACTTTATTTCTGTCTCGGTAAGCCTAATTCTCAGTGGTTCTCCTAATAATTGTGTTCATTTCTTAACAAAAATTCTGAGTGCCAAGGGCAGTGTTTTTATGTTTGTGTTTTTATAATTTTTCCTTTTTTTGTTGTTATATATCCTTCTGAAATAGTACTTCATGGTAATTTATTTATGTCTCTTTTTTTTTTTTTTCCATAAGATCCTGGCAAAGTCCCAGAAGCCAAACAAGGGACAATAAAAGTTGCAGCACAAGGTAGGCAACAAAACACTTAAAAATTCTATTGCTTTTAAAAAAAACTTATAGTAGCACTTTATTGACAATAGCCAAAGCTGTTTATTGCAGAATAGCACCATCTGCTGGGTTATTATAGAAAACATTTTGTTGTTGCATGAAGATGCACATTTCAAGAATTTATTTAGTAGTTGGAGAAAGTGCAACTGATAGTAATGCCACATTTGCAGAGGAGACACTGAATGACCCAAGAATTCGTATCTCGACTCCAGGTTTGTCATTGAGCTTTTACTTGTACATCCAAAAGTAAACCATAGATTAATTGATACATAGAAGATAATATGATGGACAGATAGAGATACACAAATACATAAAATTTCCAATGTTTTTAGTTATGCATTTAAATTTGTGTCATACTAGAAAATTCAGTCAGAATGTTATTAAATTAATACTACTTCATCTGTATATCGAGACTGCAAAAATCAGATATGACTACAAAGTAATCATCCTAGCTTTTATGAGCCATCTGAGAAAATTTGTTTTATCACTCACTAATATCTTTGGGACATCAAAAGTGGTTTTGTTTAAGAGAACTTTAGAAAGTATATTGATTCTTTAAATCATCGATTTGGGAAAAGTACTTCTTTAAAATAATTTTCCTGTAATGTTATTTTTAAACTATCACCTGAAATCACGTCCTTTGAGAAAGCTACTCTAACTCCATTTTCCACTTTATAGAACACTCTTAGGAAAGAAAAAGTAAAATATTTACTGGAGAAAATCTTTATTTTTTCTCCTTTGCCACATTATACAGCATTGACCAATAAAGGAGATGCATTTAGGTGGTGGTACATTTGTTTCTGTGCAGAAGCCCCTTGTAGCAGACTTTGAGAAGTCTGCTGAGCACATGACATGATTCCATCTGATCCAAAATTTTCTGTTACATTTAATCCTGGACCCAACGACATACAGAATCATCCTAGTAAATATTGGTAAAATGGGTTGACTAGCCATTTGACCCAATCATGTTGTTTATAAAGTATATGTGCTAGAATGGTTAAGAACTATGATACAAGGTTTTAGTTTTCATTTGATCATTGGGTTGATCAACAAAACTGATTCTTCTTTAGAAGAGTTCTCATCAGGAATGTCATTAATATTATGGGAGGTAGAAAAGCAGGGCAAATATTATCATCACTTTTGTGTTTTCTATTCATGAAAATGCAGCTCAGAGTGGATTCCTTAAGTGAATGACTACGTAGTTCAAGAATTATTGCAGTTAATGCATATATGTTCTCATAAAAAAGCACAATAGCCTGGCACAGTCTGTTTTAACTGAGGCTTCTGAAGGTCATGGTAGGTGTGGAACTATGACTCGAGGCAGGCACTTAGTGTTACTTCAGCCTCCTATTAGAGGAGTTCAGGGGAGGGAATTGAAGAGGTATTTGGAAATCTGCTTCAGATTTGAGCTCGGGGCCATGGGCTTTTACATTCCAAGTACATTGGATTAGGCAGACTCAGAACTTAATGCTTTCCGAATAAAGCATTTATTGTTGAGTGAATAATCAGGTAGAGTTTCAAAGACTTGTAAAACTATCCTTTTATGAGATTAGATGAAAGTGCTGATTGAGAACAGTGTACAAGTGTACAAGGCAAGAGTTAGGGGCTATATATATATATGTTCACAATTTAAATTGTAATGACACATCAAAGCAGGGACACACCAAACAGGGATAAATGTCACTTGTGTTGTGCACATACTCAGTAGACCTTTCGTAGACAGGTTTTATAACACCACAGCTGCATAATTAAATTATGCATAGAAGTAATTAATATTTGCAAGTACTCCATGTGGAGACGGCTTAAACACTATGGCAATACTGCTATAGCAGAGACTGATAATTTTGATAGATACAGTGACAAAATTGACAGTGATGTTTATAGTGGGGTAAAAGTTAGAGTATATCTATTCATTTATTTATTTTTTTTTACTTTTATAACAAAGGAACTATTTAAACCCTAATTTTATATAAATTATGTATATATGTACATATTAATTAAGATATAGCATTCTTTTTTGGAAGTACTTAAAAAATTATTTTAACAAAGAGTTTGGAGGCACTGAGAAGACAATGACATAAATGTCTTTATACTACAGGAGATTACAGTTTGGAGATATGAGAAATTTAAGTAACAACACAAATTGAATATCTTGTAGTGCTGAATTGAATTGTAGAGATAATAAATGCCAAAGAATTAAGACAAAGTGATTTTCAGTAAGAGGGATTCCTCATGGATGAGGGGTGACTTGAGTTTGTAGCATGACTGAAAAATAAACTGGAAGAAAAAAAAGCATTGCTAGTAAGTGGATGACTTAAGTAGATATAAAGAGCGATAATTATGAAAGGTTGTTGTCATCATCAAGACATGAGACAATAACCTCAACTAGGATGGCGCAGATGACTTTAGAGAAATGCAAGTAAGGTGAACATTTTGAAGACATAATATTTGATAAACTATACAGATGAAACAAAGAAAAAATAAAAATGGTACTGAGCTTTCGAGTGTTGGTGAATAGGATCATTATAATTGTCATAGTGATAAGTCCCAGGGGAAGGAAGGAGCTTAAGGGAAAAGAAGAGGATTCACTTTTGGGCAGGTTTATGTTGAGCAGACGGAATGTTATCCAGGCAATGATTTTTCTGTAGCCAGTTAGAACTTAGATGGGATATCAATCTAGTTAATAGATATTACACAATAAGTTGTGGTGCAGGAATGGAATATAGACCAAAATGGGGGAAGGAAGGAGAGAAATAAGGAATCATCTTTTTTTTTTTTTTTTTCCGGTACGCGGGCCTCTCACTGCTGTGGCCTCTCCCGTTGAGGAGCACAGCCTCCGGACGTGCAGGCTCAGCGGCCATGGCTCGCGCGCCTAGCCGCTCCGCGGCATGTGGGATCTTCCCGGACCGGGGCACGAACCCGTGTCCCCTGCACCGGCAGGCGGACTCTCAACCACTGTGCCACCAGGGAAGCCCAGGAATCATTTTTTAATCAGTTAGTTGTAACAGCTAGGAAGACACCTGTTGAGAATGAAATGCTCGAGTGAGGACAGGAACCATAATGGAACTCGCCTTAAAAGATGGGTCTACATCAAATATTTCCTAAATCCCCATCTCAAGATACTGCAGTTGATGCTCTGGTGTGGTGCTGCCACTTACCTCTCATGATGTACCAGGGTATTGGATCTGACTCTGTGCATAAATCTAGGGATGTGCCTGTGGAGTCCTGTGGGTGGGTGGGTGTACATTTGGAAAGGGAGACAGTACGCTGAGCCAGGAAAATGGTATTCCTATTTCCTTTCAACTACTGAGATTCACATGTTATCTTAGTTTGGGCTGCTATAACAGAATATCATGGGTGGCTTAAACAGTACACTTATTTCTCATTTTAAAAAAAGATGGGTCTATATGCATCTGTGTTAGTGTATTTCAGTGTATTTTTTTCCTTTTGGTCTCAAAGCAAACATAAAAGTATCCCATCTATTAGAGAACAAAAAGAACAAAATAACTAGAATATTAGCCATTGCAGTCTCAAGATTGCTTTGGAAATTCGGGGTCTTTTGTGGTTCCATACAAATTTTAGGATTATTTGTTCTAGTTCTATAAAAAATGTCATTGGCATTTTGATAGGGTTTGCATCAAATCTGTATATTGCTTTGTGTAGTATGGACATTTTTACAATATTAATTTTTCCAGTTCAAGAATATGGGGTATCTTTCCATTTCTTTCTATTATTTTCATATTGCTTTATCAGTGTTTTCTAGTTTTCAGAGTATAGGTCTTTCACCTCCTTGGTTAAGCTTATTCCTAGGTATTTTATTCTTTTTGATGCAATTTTAAACAGGATTGTTTTCTTGCTTTCTCTTTCTGATAGTTCATTATTAGTGCATAGAAAAGCAACAGATTTCTGTATATTAATCCTGTATCCTGCAACTTTACTAAACTGACTTATTAGTTCTAATAGTTTTTTGGTGGAGATTTCAGGGTTCATTACAGCAGTCTCATTACAATGTGAAAAACAAGAGCTAAATAGTTAAGAATCACTCCCACTCAGTAAATCAGTCATCCAGCCATTGTAATCCAGTTAAATAGATTAGAGTCAGGTGAGCTGAATTGAGTGCCAGCAGTGGGACACATGAACAAAAGTTACAAAACCATTATGGAAACAGTTGGACCCTGAAACCCTGGTTTTGATTAACTTCTGGGCCAGAATCCAGCTTGACAGATCACATGGCTTTCCAGATGACAGTGAGTAAAACCCACCAACCTTCAACCACCCATCAACCTTCAATTATAAACTGGTATATAATTCATCAGTAACTAGGCACAGATAATTTATGGACTCTATTTTTTGCGTAGATCTGTTCCTTTTATTTTAGAAGTAATTGTGGTTTGGTCAGATATAACAATTACAAACCTAAAATGTAATTATGCTAAACACATACTTATTATTTTAACTTCTTGTCTGTGTAACAATATATTTTTATTCTCCTTTATTGGTTTTATGTTTATATCTGAATTAAAAGAAAAACTTTATATGAAATAATATTTTCAATTCTCTTATTTCAGATTTGGATGAATTAATTTGTGCATTGATAACCACTAAGTTTATGAATATATGCACTACATCCTCATATTCTCAGTTTTCTGAGGAATGGCTATTTAATATGTTTTAACACTATTTTCTTTCCCTTATTTCAGCAACAACTAAAAAAGATGAAAAGAAGGAAGGTATGTTTTATGCAAAGTTCCACTATGCTTTTTGTGTGAACAACTTACCAATAATCAGAGTTGAATTTTGACTGCCAGCTTGTCTGTGTTTACTTTGGAGCTATTATGTGAATACCATTTGTGTGAATGTGTGTTTTCTAGAACATCACTTCACACTAAAGGGTGAACTACTTTTTTAAAAAGTAATTTTAATCTAATATTTCTCAATATACAGGGGGTAAAACACAACCTCTCAAAATCCCGGGCCTCCTATTTCATTAGCAATTTTATCGAATTTCAAAAATACATAAAATACAGACCAATTTTCTCATATCGACTACTTATATCTCTGACACTGACAAGCAACTGATGTTATTTTGTTCTATTATGTTGAAAATAAATCATAGTCCATCACTTGCACTCCACGTCCTTTTGTCAGGATGTCTTGATACGGAGCCATTTATTCCTTGCTGTCAAAAAGAGACTGCACCTGATGGACTTATACAGGCAAGAGAGACTTTATTCAAGACTATTGCGATAGGGGTCAAGTCTGTTTACAATAGGAGAAATTGAGCTCAACTCCACTGAAACCAAAATGAGAGTTTTAAAGTTCTGGTATGAGCTCGTAGAAAAGCACTGGAGGATGTTGGTGGGTTTGGGGTGGGAGCTGGTCAATGTGATGAGGCCATCTGGGTTTTTTAATTTCCTATGAAATTAGGCTCCTACCCTTCCACAGAGACTGGGATATAGGACTGCTATCTCCCTTGATGATTATGTTTCAAAGTGATGTCTTGCAGATCTTGAGAAAGATATTTCTGGTTGTAGAAGATTTATGTTTCAAAGGGACAGAGAAAGAATTTACAACTGCAAGTTTTCTAAAGTAAATGCTCTGCTAAAATGGTGGTCAGGGGCCTATAGTCAAGAAGAAAACTGTCTAAACTTTATTCAAGTTGATGGGAATGTTAAGGCCTTCTAAGTCACTGTGACTCTATTTAGAGAAGTTTCTATTGCACAGCCTGACTACTCTTAGATAGGGTCTCTAGCTATCACTACTGTTTATTAATCTAGGCTTATTTTCTCAGTAAAAATGGCATGTAGATATAAGCAGTCACTTATGACTTTGAAAATGACAATTATATTCTAAATTAGTGTTCATATGATCTGAGAAAAAATAAGAAAACAAGTGTTATATTTTATATTTAGTATCATCAGAATTTTACATAGTCCGATAGCTTGGGAGTCACATTCTGCTTCTGTTAAACAAGAATCTAAGAGTCAATAGATCTGAGAAGGAGAAAATATTTTAGTTGGTTATTACTCACCTAGGAGAGAAAAACATAGTATCATAAAAGTCAACTAATACATATCACTGTGTTTATTATAAAGGCATAGAAATCAGTATTAATTCCCCATATACACATAGCAAATATTTCAGTGCATTTTGGAAATTATATCATTTATATGATCAACATCGTGGTGTGTATACAGAGACCTTACAAGAAAAAAGAGATAGTAAGTTCCTGATACAGCTTTTGACAGATAGTAAGTGCTCAAAGATGTTTATCTTCCCTCCATCCTTCCTTCTTCTGAATAAAGAACAATTTACCATTTGATTTAGGTAAAGGAGTAATATGAACAGTTATTTTTCCACTCATTGGCATTCAAACCAAAGTATTAGAAGACTTCTGGGTATATGAAACAGTAGCCAAATTACAATTCACAGCTATAAGCTTTATACGTATTTTTTTCCCCTCGTTGCTATGATTGGTTCTGTTTTTCCTGAATTATGTGGCTTTTTTCACTTTTCTGAAAAATTGTCCATATGCGATGGACAATTTTTGGAAGAGCCTGGGGAGCCCAAGCAGAGCTTTGCCTTTGAAGACTCAAGTAATCCAGTGTACATCACCAGCTGTGAAATATATAAAACATATACTCCTGACTATTTCTTTTTTTTTTTTTTTTAATATATTTATTTATTTATTTTTGGCTGTGTTGGGTCTTCGTTTCTGTGCGAGGGCTTTCTCTAGTTGTGGCATGCGGGGGCCAGTCTTCATCGCGGTGCGCGGGCCTCTGACTATCGCGGCCTCTCTTGTTGAGGAGCACAGGCTCCAGACGCGCAGGCTCAGTAGTCGTGGCTCACGGGCCTAGTTGCTCCGTGGCATGTGGGATCTTCCCAAACCAGGGCTCGAACCCATGTCCCCAGCATTAGCAGGCAGACTCTCAACCACTGCGCCACCAGGGAAGCCCCTGACTATTTCTTAATATTACCATCACTATCATCATCATTATTATTAAATTGTCATTTCCAAAGGGTTTTATGGATTATTTCTCATCTCTTGTTTGGAAAACTTTTTTTTTTTTTTGCGGTACGCGGGCCTCTCACTCTTGTGGCCTCTCCCGTTGCGGAGCACAGGCTCTGGACGCGCAGGCTCAGCGGCCATGGCTCACGGGCCCAGCCGCTCCACGCCATGTGGGATCTTCCCGGACCGGGGCACGAACCCGTGTCCCCTGCCCCAGCAGGCGGACTCTCAACCACTGCGCCACCAGGGAAGCCCTGGAAAACTTTTTAAATTGGTTAAATGATGATATTTAATGTAAAAACTATTCAGCGTAATTTTCATTGCTCTCAATGTATAGTAGGAGAATAGGCTTAATGGCCAGCTATTCTAGGCAGTGGCTTGATTTTACATTTCACGAGTTCGTATTTCCCTCTCTGTATCTTCTGTTAAGCAAAGCAGAGGAGGTATATGGACTTAAGCTTCTTGGCTCTTTTTTCTTATTTTCAATGATCTCAGTAAAGATTATAGAAATCTTTTCCGTAGAGGCAGGAAGCACATTTTTCCTCAAATGAGGCAAGTTTAATACAAATCATCAGGTGGCATACAATTTGGATTTTCAGTATTTTATTTTACACAAAGTTTATTCACGTTCAACCTTTTTGGATATAGTCAAAGATACTAAAGGTTGACAACTTTCCTGAAAAAAAAGAGAATAAGGGGGGTTTCAGGGATTTAATTAGAATGCTCTTGAGAAGTTTTTGTGGTGGATTTTAAAACACAGAAATAAAAGTGCATATGAACTTCTTTATGATAAGCAGGCATCAGGCCACAAAGAACTTCTTGCATTAGTGAACTCTGAAGATTTGCTGTTCATATTAAGATCTTATTACAGCATGTCTCATCAAGTCTCTTTCACAAAACTTAGCAAGAGAGACCCTTGGCTCCATTGAGCTTTGCCCATCAAGTTCACTGTCGTTAGCAGTTTTGGTGTCAGAGCAAGCATATCTTAGCCTAAGTAGAGTAACGTTTCTGAATAAATGTTCAGCTGAGGTCCTTCTGTGACAAGACTTTTTCTACTGAAGTTGCCACTCTTTCTCCCTCGGCAGACACTTTCCTTATGATTTATTAACACACGTTCCTACTGTCCATCAGGTTCCCAAAGTCAAAGTCCTAATCAAATTATATTTTTCTTTATAAACATATGCTTATTCCTTTATTTCTTCTTATAGAGTCATCCCATTCTCTTTGCAGACACCAGGACTCAAATTGTAGTGTAAACTTTGACTCCTGAGTTTCCTTTGCCACTAAAATTTAGTCCTCCGGAATTTTTAATTTGACTAAACTCTCTTGTCTAATCCATCCTAAAGTAATTAGAAAAGCTAATCTTCACTCACAGCCTCCATTCCTTCAGTTGCGACCTCACATCCTCATTTGTGACCTCATGTTGGTCTTACTAACCTTTTGCGTGAACCAGGGAAACGGTCTTGAAAATCAGAGGTTCTCAAGATGTGGTCAAGGACTACTGGAAGTACCTGAGGCCTTTTCAGTGGTTCTGCAAGATCAAAACTATATTGATAAAAATATGGATTTATCATTTCCTTCTCACTCTCCTTCTCTTATGAGTGTGCACTAGAGTTTTCCAGAAGCTACACAGTGTGTGATATTGCAACAGAATAAATGCTTAAGGAGATACGCGAATCCAACTATCTTTGCCAGACATTAAGGAGATTCACAAAAGTGTAAAACAAAGTCCTTCATCTCATCATTTTTTTGGTATTGGAAAATATATTTGTCATAAAAAGTATATTTATGGTAACAGGTAACAGGTTTAAAATTTTTAAATTAATAAATACATATTTATATATCTAAAATATTATCAGCTTTATTTTTTTTAATTATAAATGTCATAGATAGAATAAAAGCTGTTTGGGGTCCTTTACAATTGTTAAGATTTTTGTAGGAGTCCTGAGATAAAAACGATTGAGTATCTCTGACCTAAATAATCATTCTGCCTGTAATGTTTTCCCTAAATATTTTCTTCCAAAATACTGAACTGACTTCATGAAACACTTTATGTCATTACCTATGGTAATGGTACCACACTGACCACAGAACATAGTCTACAAGCCTTAACCTGTAACTTAAGTCCCCACAGAGTGTTTGCTGACCTCCTGTCAAGCACATATCAAGGCAAAGTCAAAGCCAAGGACTGACAAATTCCACCAGTAAAAATACAATGATCTCTTTTGAGATTGAGACAGTTTATTACTTTCATGGCCAGCAAAAGCAAGGGTATCTAAAGGTGCCAGCTCTTCATTGTCCTTGTCCCACACACCAAAAATTCAACACACCAGATAATTCACAAGTTAGGGACAGCTTTTTGCTGAGGACTCAAATCTGGACTACAGCCAGTGGTCTCCGGGTCTGTTCTCAAAGGGTTCTAGGCAGGAGAACCCAGGAGGTGATGAGAAGTTGTCTTATGACAACCTCCAGGAGAGAGAGAGAGGCATGTGGAAGATGACCTCATAGAAAGTCCTCATAGGCCTCCCATCCCCTTACGTTCTTGAAGGATCACAAGACATCCTGCCAGACTCAGAATTAGCTGTGGTTCAGATCTTTGCCTGAATGACATATATGGCTAGTGCAAAGCCACCAGGGCACCGTGGTGGAACCTGTACCCTACTCTCCCACCCAGTTTCTTCCTTTATATATTATGTGTTTCATCCATACTAAGTCACTTTCAATTTTACAGATACAATGTGCTGTCTAGCCATTGTCCCTGCTATTATCATAATAGATCTTACCCTTTCCTTTTCCTTCTATGAATACTCAGTGTTCTTAGGGCTCAAGAAAAATTCTCTTCCCTCTAGGACAAGGGTCCCCAACCCCCCGGGGAAGCAGGCCGCACAGCAGGAGGTGAGCAGCGAGCGAGTGAGGGAAGCTTTATCTGCCGCTTCCCATTGCTCCCCACTGCTCCCCATTACTTGCATTACTGCCTGAGCCATCCCCCACCCACCTCGTCCATGGAAAAATTGTCTTCCATGAAACCCGTCCCTGGTGCCAAAAAGGTTGGGGACCACTGTTCTAGGATGTCTGTCTGAACCTCCCAATTAAATATTTTTTCTCGGGGCTTCCCTGGTGGCGCAGTGGTTGAGAGTTTGCCTGCCGATGCAGGGGACACGGGTTCGTGCCCTGGTCCGGGGGGATCCCACATGCCGCGGAGCGGCTGGGCCCGTGAGCCATGGCCGCTGAGCCTGCGTGTCCGGAGCCTGTGCTCCTCAATGGGAGAGGCCACAACAGTGAGAGGCCCGCGTACTGCAAAAAAATAAATAAATAAATAAAAATTTCTCTTTCATTTATAATCTCCCTTCAGAGTTTTTGTGTACTTCCTTAGTATTGTTTATTTCATGCCCCTTGTACTTCATATTACTTGCATCATTTTCCTTCTATTCTACTTGACTTTAAGACTTTTGACTAAAGGGACCATGTCTAATTCACTTTCATCCCCTACAGGAACTAACACATTTCCTTAGTTTGTACATTGCTCAACAAATATTTATTCTGTGAATGAATCAGTAATATCTAGGACTCTTAAGATAAATATTATAGCCACAAGAAGTAAGAGTAGGCACTCAAATTTTCATATCCCAGGCAAGAAACGATTTTTTTTTCAAATTGGGAGTTGTATTATAGTGAGCTTTTTAGGTCTGGGAATTTATAGTCAGTTACTAACAATTTTATCTTAAGTGTATATGATCATTAGCTGCTACTTGAGTTGCACTAGCAGATCTAGGTAGATCTCATTCAACTAACCTCAGCTTTGTTGATGAAATCCTAGGGGTTGGAAAGCCTGTGGGTTTTTTTTTTTTTTAATAAACTTATTTATTTTATTTATTTATATTTGGCTGCATTGGGTCTTCGTTCCTGCACCCAGGCTTTCTCTAGTTGCGGCGAGCGGGGCCTACTCTACATTGCCTTGCATGGGTTTCTCATTGCGGTGGCTTCTCTTGTTGCGGAGCACGGGCTCTAGGCACGTGGCCTTCAGTAGTTGTGGCTCGCGGGCTCTAGAGCTCAGGTTCAGTAGTTGTGGTGCATGGGCTTAGTTGCTCTGTGGCATGTGACATCTTCCCGGACCAGGGATTGAACGCATGTCCCTGCATTGGCAGGTGGATTCTTAACCACTGCACCACCAGGGAAGTCCTCAAGCCTGTGGGTTTTTCAACACAGGTTATCTTCTAAAGGATACAGCTCCATTGAGAACTAGCCAGATGAGATTTATTATTTACTGTAACTAGGGCAAAGCCAAGTAGAGTTGAATGCATGTGAGAATTAGTCCTAAGTTCTAGGACTTCATCATTGAGATCTGAAGAGGAATCATGCTGAAAAACAATGCAAAGTTTCTGTTGTAATTGAATAAGGATGCCAATTGGCAAGTCACACACACACGGCATACTTCATTACCTGATTTATTAGACTATCAGAGAGTTAATTTTTCCCTTCAATATGAATTGGTATTTCATTTTCCTCTGGCATCATTCATGAACATAATAGACCATACCTGATACATCGCTAAAGTTGAGTGAGTGACGAATTGAACAGATTGCAAACACATCACTGCTTTTCAATCAGCTGCTGTGGGTCTCAATGTTCTTAATAGAAGACTGTTGTTCAGATTATTGGGCAGATGGCCTTTAGGGAGGTATATTCACCAAGTAAGCCTTTATAATATTTTTAAGCCATTTCAGCAGAGTGCTGGGAGCATGTAATGAAGTTTAATAGCATGAGTATTAAGTGCTGGGACTAATAGCTCTTTAGTGTCAGTATGTGATCTTTCAATTTTAAGCATTATATATTTTGGTTTCTCAGGTATTTACTTGTGTAAGTCTGCTACTCTGTTGACTCCTAACCAAAAGATGTGAAATTATGATGACATTTTAAGTACATTTCACTACAGCTCCCAGTTCTTACAGCAAATATATTGAACTTTAAAGACCTGCTTGATTAGATCATGACTTATTTTTTTACATTTCTACTTTATGAAATACTTGTCTTTATCTCAGTAAGTGATGTACTTTACCTGACCCTGGACTTCATATTATTTTTATTCTTTTATTACAGAACAATGGATATCTAATACAATATTTATCAATTCTTATTACCAGGGAAAAGGAAAACAGATTAAAAACAACAGGCATTCCAGACTTACATATATTGTATTAAGCTTTTTGCCCCTACCCCATGCCAGCATCTAGTTGAAAAATAGGGGGGCTGGAAATAATCTTGTCCTAATATGCCACATTTTAGCCTCTGTCTGTTCAAACATTCTTCCCAAGCGTTACCTTCAGTTGTATTTCAACTGTAGGTGCCCACCATAATATGTCTGTGTTTTGCATATTGGCTGTACTCTGGGCTCAAAAGATTGCTCAACAAGGATCACAGAACCTCTTGGACAGGCAGAAATCCTATCCCAGTATACTGCAGCCAAACTAATTGATAAGTCGTGCTAGCCATTGAACTATCCACTTCAGACTTTCATCTGTTGTGGTAGGAGAATCTGTATCTCCAAAAGAGTGGCCACTGCATATTATTAATGAATAGCTAGACATATGAGTAAGATGATCGATGACATTTATCACATTCTTATATGGAATTGTTTTATATAATATTTTTCTAATATTTGAATTACCTGCTTACCTAATTAGGATAATTACTCATCAAGGAAACAAATGAGAAATTGCTTGCAAAGCACATTTGTTTTAGATCATGAATTTGGTCCACTTCATTACAGTTCCTGATGAGAAAATGAATAGCAAGAAAAAGATTGGGTTTTTGGGGGTGAGGTGACAGGTATTAAGAAAAATTTAGTCAAAAATTCTTTTTACTAAGGCATACTGGACATAATAGTGTTTAATAAACGTTTACTCAATAAGTGTTCCGTTTCAAGGATCTATTATTTTAAAAAATAAGGTTTGTTTTTTCTCTTAAACGTGAAACAAAACCCAATTACAGAAAAAATAGAAATTCAGAAAGAAGACGTTGCAAAACATCATTTTAATGACTATGTTTTTCTATTATGTGGATATACTGTGAATCCCATGAAGAGTTCCCCTACTGTACGGAGGGTACTGGTTAATATTCCCCTTATTTAGAGGTATAAAACAATGTCACAAAGCATCTTCGTATAAGATTTTCTTATGACAATTTTGCATGTTTCTCCTTGGAAATCTAGAAGTTGAACTACTGTGTCAAAAAGTATGCTCATTTTAATGACTTTCTAGATGTTTTTCCCCAAGTTGCTCTCCTAAAATGTGTTTTCAGCTTCTACTTCTGTGGAAGTAGGTTATTACTTTCACCACACTATTACTGTTACTGATTATCATTTTCTCATAAAACAATTCAGTTGACCATCTAACTGCCTGTTGTGAACAGTCTCCTACTCACTGTCATCTTCAAACATTTTAGGTCCATTACTTCATTGTGGAACTATAATCATGATCCATCTACATCACTATAAGGCACACAGATTCGTTAACTTCCAAATTGTTAGTGAATATCTATTGCTCTAGGTTCTAAGCCATATAATTGTCAGCCAGAGAACAGTTTATGTTTTGCAAGCATAAATTCATAGTTCATTATTTTGATTCTAATTTCAGTAATATTCAGATAATTTCAAAACTAAGTTACAGAAGAGGTAAAAGAAAGAAAACAGAATATACAGAATGAAATATTCTAAGCAAAAATTTAAGATGCCTCCATTCTAAAATAAACAAGTTAAAAAAACACTTGTTTTTAATTTCAAGTGATAGGAACAGAGAGTTTCATGGTATAAAAATACTGGAAATAATAAATTTCTCAGATACAGGCTGAACACCCAAAAGACTAAAAATTGAATAGATGGCTTTTGACCACTGAATGCGTGTTACTACATAGCAGTTACTAAATAAATGATATGTTCGTCAGTAACCCATGAGCCATCATCACCTGTTTCTTTTTCATTACAATATGAATAAGTTAATGTTTGTACTGGAAATGCATCAATTATTCAAGGAGAGTACAATACATTTCACCAGGATTGCTATAGATTGAACAAATGAAGAAATTGCCAACTAAATTCATGGATTCCAACCCATCTCTATGGAAACAGACAGTATATCTGCCCAGTTTGACATTTTATTAAAAGGTCATTAGCTGCTATAGACACAATGTAATTTCTATGCAAATTAGATGTGAATATTTTCCTTTGTATTTTTTCTATATTTTATACATCAAAAGTTTCTCACTTCTTGCCTTAATCTAATACTCCTCCTCTCAAAAACAGAATAATTTAGCTTTAAGCCCCATATTCTAGAAATACAACATGCAATCAATCCATTTCATTGAAAATGATTTCAGAGTGTATGGACATTTTGTTGTGAGCTTATCAGTTGTTGATTTTTCTTATCTGCTTTGTCAGTAATTTATATTTGTATTTTCAGATTCCAAGAAAACAAGAACAACTGCAGAAGGTATTGGGAATATTTCCTTTTTCTGTCTTATATTTAATGAACCCCCAAGCAGCATTCCTTTTTAAAGGAGTCACACAAAAGAAAAAACTAAATATGGGATAAAAGAGAGAGAGAGAAATATTGAGAAAGAAAGAAAAAGAGAGAGACTCAAATCTTTCCTGACAATAATGCTATGAGAAATATTTGGCAGTAATAAAAATAAATACTGCCTATGTTTACCTTTCACAGTAATTATTTTCAAAGAAATGTTTGCTGCACAAGAAATTGAACGATGTTCAGTAACAAGCATTTACTTTGCTAAAAAGTATAAATTTAATTAATCTTGGATATACCAGCATCGATGGAACTGAGTAGTTCCTTTAAGTCTTGAATAAAATCATAAATCATGTGGCAAGTATACCTGTGTCTTTTGTATTTGTTCATAAGGGTTTATGTGTACAGGGTGTTTATGTGTTCATATACATTTAAGAAGACTACAAGATGTAAATCATTTTAAATAGTTAAACAGTATAATCCTAGGTTCATTGTCAAATAATGTTTTACAATTAACTTATGGAAACACCTATGATAATCAGCAATACCTCTGAGCAACACTGAGAAATTTAAGGGGAGAGAATGGGAGGAGGCGTAGGAAACATTACAGTCTAATCAATGTGTTGAGGGAGTATACTTTATCTTTGAAAGTTTCATGAGCAATGGCTTTCTGTTTATATTTCTTTCAACAGAACTACCCAAGGGAAAAAGTAAGGAAAGGCATGCAAATTATATATTTTTTCTATTTACTGCTACTACTGTCCTGCTGAAATACCTAGACTTGCGGTTTTGAATCTCCCTTTTCTATATTTTATGCATGTGAACTCTATTTTTTTTGTCAGAATGAAAGAATATACAACCTGGGGAGGGGGTGATCAGAGTGGACTGAAAAGCATGGCAGTCTTCCTTAGAGTCCTTTTTGAAATTCATGCAATCGTCTAATAACATTGTCCACAGTCTTAACCAAAAAATATAACTTCATTCCATTAACCAAAACTGTATTATGTTAGTGGAAATATAGTCTCTGTAATCTGGTTAGTTCTGTAGCTAGAATATAGAACAGAAGTTCTTTTTCAGGTTAGTTTTACAATCTCTTTTCTGTTTTCTTTGTTCTTGTAATCCATAAATATTTTGGCATGTTCACATGATATATGACATTTTGTCCATAACAGTGTCCTTTTTCCCTACAAACACTGTGAGCTCTGTGAAACTGCATTGCTTGGGATGCATAACATAGGCAGCATCCACTGTTGCTATAACACATTATTAAAGCTTGCTTGCTAATGATTCAGTAAAGCTTGATGCTTTGAGGTTGAGTCTTTTGCAAATGTGTACTCTTCTCTGAAGAAAAACAAACAGAAACAAATAATGTCAACTTAACCTTATTCAATTAGCCATTAATAATCATTCCATTTCCAGGTATGCAGAGCTTTAAAAAATCCTAGTGAAATTAAGAACATGTTTTAAAATATATACCAATTAAAAAAAAGATTTACATGCATTTTGGTCCTGCAAAGTCAGGACATTTGACCTTTTATGTCATAAAAGTGCTCTAAAATGTCCTATGGAGAGAATCATGAAGGTACACTACAACTCAGCCAAGGGGAGCAATCTGTCTGTAGAGAACTATGTGGTATTTCGATACCAGATTTATGTGTGTGCACAGCTGCTGATATGGGCACTGGCACACTGATACAGAAACCACTCTATAAACCATTGCACCAGCAGGGAAATGGAGGACAACTGGAGATTTGAAAAATGGTATTTAAATAATATATATGTAACCTTAAGGCCCTTGCTTTATTACAGTCTATATGATTTAAAATTTCCCACAGACACACTGCAGCTCCTTGACAATCTTCAGAGTATTGATATATTTAATAAATAAACATGCCTTCCCAGGCATTCATTTAACATTCCAACTGCTTCCCTCCTTGGGAAGTGGATTGACTTGGGCAGTAATAAGGACAAGAAAAAGAATTTTCCTCTAAACAACTACTAATTCTTTTCGAATTAACTTATTTGCTCTAGTTTATCATCTGGACCTGCTTTTGTTGTTATTGTCGCATCTTTGAATTTGCTGGATTCAGTTGTTGTTGTTTTTACTTTAATATTGCTTTATTCAATTATACGTCTCCAACCCTATATTCTTATTTTGCTTTTTCTTTTCTAGTTACCACAACTTAAAAGTTGGTTGTTTTTGTGTTTTTGGTTTTTTTTGCAGTCTAAAACAAATCATGGTAGGGAAAACAGGGAGAAGAGTACATGTATTTATGTATACATGTACTCTTCCTGTATATATTTTTGCTAACTCTAGTGAGCTATAATTTTTTCCAAATAAAAAAATCAATTATAAGTATGATTTGGCAGTCCCTGTAGATATAAGCATGAACTAATTTGTATTTATTAAGATAATTCAATAATTACATCTTGAATTATCCCATAAAATAAATGGACTTGACAGCCTTTTCTTGCACATCATCCCAAATTAGCACGGGTATTTTTCTGCTTATACAGTTACTTTCTGATATGATTGGAAGACCCTTATTTTAACTTTGAAATCTCACAGATAGTTGGTAATTGATTTTGGTGCATACCCAAAGCTACTTCCAGTATTTTTTTTGATTGTTATTACTTTACAAATTTCTTAGAAATGTTTTGATAATTGGTGGTTCAGTTCAGCAATAAATTAAGCAATGCATTTAATTACTCCATGTTTTCCAGACAGTTTTTAATGTTCTTACCTGTGTTTAATTTTAGCTAAGTCACGTATGCTTCTTCCCTTTGACTTGTAACACTTGGTCAGGCCATTCGTTTTATTTGTTTTATTGCCTGCCTGCTATCTTGGGAATGAATAAATTGCTCATTACACCTTCACAAGTACAAGCGTGGTAAACAAAATTGTACACTTGAGAGACTGATGAGATAACCATAGGAAATTCGATGACACTCTATGTTTCTAAAATATAGTTCTTAGAATTCTTTTAGCATAAACATCTTCTAGTCTCCAAAATATATTCATTAAATGAAACTTGAAGAAATCTCTTTATTTTTCTTTAAAAAATCAGATAATAATGTGTCTATGTTAAAGTATTTCTTGAAAATCATTTAAATTAATTTGACAAGCTTGTCAAATTTTGCTTGTCAAGGCAAAATAAGTAAGAATAGAAATGTAGAAAATAGCACTTCATATAAAATTAGTACCTACACTTCATATAAAATTAGTGCTTATTATAATACAAATGTCAGCTTAATTTTGAGGCCAGAATGATTCTTCATCTCATATAACATTGGCAAAAGTGGGTTCTTAAAAAGGAACACTATATGAAAAATACTCTATAAGGAGCATTTGTCCTAAAAACAAGGGAAGTGTGTTTTGCTTCCCCCTGAAAATTCTTAGTCTATTTTTAGCGTTGTAAATCTACCTCAGCAAAGACTTTGTCTTAGCTAAACATATACCTTTTCAATATAAGAAAAGTTCACCTTAGAAGAGAAAGTCCAGAGGAAATCTGTTCATCCTTATCTGAGAATTATTTTAAAACAGATGTAACAATTATCCTTTATGCTTACTTTTTATCCCAAATTTATTTCATGTTGATCTAGTAAGAAAGGAAATTAAAAATTTTTCCATCCTTTATAGACCCTACTTTATCTTTCTAGTTTATTATCCATGAAAAATTTTAACTCCTCTAATATCCAGAATAATTTTTATTGCTGCTCTGTGAGGGACAACAGAGGAAGATTGGAAAAACTCTTTTTAAATATGAGTCGGATATTAGTCTTTTCATGGCAGCTACTATCGGTGCAATACAGCACTAGACATATATGTTTCTTTGTGTTAGGACAATTAAGTTGTGACACATAAAATTGGAATAATAATAATAACAAAAATAATATGTTTCAGAACAGGAAAAGAAAGAAAAACATATAGAACCAGATAACTTTTAAAATTCCTCTATCCTCTTAATTTCAAGATATAAACTTGCAATTGAATAATGAAATGTGATCAAATGGTATAAAATGTTGAATTTTTTTCTTTTCTTGTTTGATACAGCAAAGCCACCAAAGAAGGAACATTCAGGTGAGTCAGACTGGGGTTGCTGGGATCTTTCTACCTGATGTCCAAGGTTTATTAATGATGTACCCTCAGACGGGGGTAAGGGCCATGACTGGAAAGGGCAGGAAACCCTTCCATCTTATGAGATGTCTTTTTTCCAAGTTCTTGTCATACAGTTAACACCAATGCCATGTTAGAAAATGGAGGCCAAATAGTACATTACACTCTTGCTACTCACTGTGTGTTCTGTGAACCAGCAGCATTAGGAGCACCTGAGAGGTTGTTAGAAATACAGAATCTCTGGTCCCACCCCAGATCTACTGAATCAGCATCTGCAACTTCCTAAGATCCCCAGTGCATTAGTCAAAGCAGTGTTTGAGAAGCACTATTTTACAGTTTAGGGTAGAAAACAAAAACAAAAATAAAAACAAAACCCTTTCTATTATAAGTGCTTCTGACATTGCTTTGTTTTGAAAATATGAAATATTCAATTCCAGCAAATATTCTCTCTCTATTCAAAATGTTATTTAATGACACATCTTGAGTACTCAGGGGAGTTGCAATGAGAGTAGAAGTAGATTTTGTCTTCAGTCAATTTACATTCGAATGAGGGGGAAAAAAGTGAACTGACAATCAGACAAGCAGAAAAACACATATACAAACAAACAAACAAAGAATGCAGTAGGTGTAGATACCAAATGATTTTCTTAAAGGTTTCTGGATTTATCTTGCCCTATTTGTTGTTTTAAATGAAAATAAATGCAACTCCTGCTCAAGGAACTGTACTGATTTTGTGTGTGTGTGTGTGTGTGTGTGTAAGCTGTCATAACCTCATATAATGTCCATTAGTCACCCCTCCCATCATATTATATTTAAATGGAAATAGCATTTACATTGACAATACATTAAAATAGCAATTACAATATTATGTAAATACCCATGCAAATCTAGCTCAACTATACTCCCACCCCTGTCACAGACCACAGCAAACTGCAGATTCGAAACCACATTTCTTATTCTTCTTCCAGGTTTGTAAAACTTCCTCAGAAAACCCAAATCCATTTAGGAGTTTCTCCAGCTAGTTCCCATAGCATCATTTTCTTTTCTATATAAAAACACTTAACATACTCTTATAATCATATTACCTTTTCTTTTTTCCACTTTAAACAGTCAGAAATTAGAATATGAAAATTGTTTTTTATATCTTTATCCAAGAGTGCCTATCATAATGTCAGGAACATTTTAGGAACTTGAAAATGTTTGAGTGGATGAAAAGAGAAATATCAAATAGGATAATCATATTTTTAAAAAAATATAAATATGAATGACTTTTAAATAATTTGCAATATGAAATAATCACACATTTCACACTTCACATTAACATTGATATTACTCACCTATGGGAAGGAACGAATGTTTTTGTCTACCTTACAGAGAACAGAGAACAGATTATGTGTTTGGGGGTAACATTCCCATAACTGAGCCATAACACATATTCTCACTTATGTACATACGCAGAAAGCTGAAATAGAACATAATCAGAGAAACGTATAATGGGGAGACATAAAGAATGACTATGGGTCTAATCAGTTTTAAGAGTGTTTTTTTTTTTTTTGGTTAAATGATTTTATTTTTATTAAAAAAATTTTTTTTATTGCGATATTGTTGTTTTACAATGTTGTGTTAGTTTCTACTGTACAGCAAAGTAAAGTAGAGTTCCCTGTGCTATACAGCATGTTCTTATAAGTTATCCATTTTATACATATTAGTGTATATATGTCAATCTCAATCTCCCAATTCATCCCATCCGCCACCCCCTTCCACTTTCCCCCATTGCTGTTCATATGTCTGTTCTCTATATCTGTGTCTCTATTTCTGCCTTGAAAACTGGTTCATCTGTACCATTTTTCTAGATTCCACATATATGCGTTAATATACGATATTTGTTTTCTCTTTCTGACTTATTTCACTTTATATGACAGTCTCTAGGTCCATCCACATCTCTACAAATGACCCAATTTCATTCCTTTTTATGGTTGAGTAATACTTCTTTGTATATATGTACCACATCTTCTTTATCCATTCATCTGTTGATGGGCATTTAGGTTGCTTCCATGACCTGGCTATTGTAAATAGAGCTGCAATGAGCATTGGGGTGCATGTGTCTTTTTGAATTGTGGTTTCTTCTGGGTATATGCCCAGTAGTGGGATTGCTAGGTCATATGGTAATTCTATTTTTAGTTTTTTAAGGAACCTCCGTACTGTTCTCTATAGTGGCTGTATCAATTTACATTCCCACCAACAGTGCAAGAGGGTTCCCATTTCTCCACACCCCCTCCAGCATTTATTGTTTGTAGATTTTCTTATGATGCCTATTCTTACCGGTGTGAGGTGATACCTCATTGTAGTTTTGATTTGCATTTCTCTAATAATTAGTGATGTTGAGCAACTTTTCATATGCCTCTTGGCCATCTGTATGTCTTCTTTGGAGAAATGTCTATTTAGGTCTTCCACCCATTTTTTGATTGGGTTGTTTTTGTTTTTTTAATATTGAGCTGCATGAGCTATTTATATATTTTGGAGATTAACCCTTTGTCCACTGATTTGTTTGCAAATATTTTCTACCATTCTGAGGGTTGTCTTTTTGCCTTGTTTATAGTTTCCTTTGCTGTGCAAAAGCTTTTAAGTTTCATTAGGTCCCATTTGCTGATTTTTGTTTTTATTTCCATTTTTCTAGGAGGTGGGTCAAAAAGGATCTTGCTGTGATTTATGTCATAGAGGTTCTGCCTATGTTTTCCTCTAAGAGTATTAGAGTGTCTGGCCTTACATTTAGGTCTTTAATCCATTTTGAGTGTATTTTTGTGTATGGTGTTAGGGAGTGTTCTAATTTTATTCTTTTACATGTGGCTGTCCAGTTTTCCCAGCACCACTTATTGAAGAAACTGTCTTTTCTCCATTGTATATCCTTGCCTCCTTTGTCATAGATTAGTTGACCATAGGTGCGTGAGTTTATCGTTGGGCTTTCTATCCTGTTCCATTGATCTGTATTTCTGTTTTTGTGCCAGTACCATATTGTCTTGATTACTGTAGTATGAAGTCAGGGAGTCTGATTCCTCCAGCCCCGTTTTTCTTTCTCAAGATTGCTTTGGCTATTCGGGGTCTTTGTGTCTCCATACAAATTTTAAGATGATTTGTTCTAGTTCCGTAAAAAAATGCCATTGGTAATTTGATAGGGACTGCATTGAATCTGTAGATTGCTTTGGGTAGTATAGTCATTTTCACAATATTGATTCTTCCAATCCAATAATATGGTATATCTCTCCATCTGTTTGTGTCATCTTTGATTTCTTTCATCACTGTCTTATAGTTTTCTGAGTACAGATCTTTTACCTCCTTAGGTAGGTTTATTCCTAGGTATTTTATTCTTTTTGTTGCAATGGTGAATGGGTTTGTTTCCTTAATTTCTCTTTCTGATCTTTCATTGTTAGTGTATACAAATGCAAGAGATTTCTGTGCATTAATTTTGTATCCTGCAGCATTACCAAATTCATTGATTAGCTCTAGTAGTTTTCTGATGGCATCCTTAGGATTATCTACCTATTATATCATGTCATCTGCAAACAGTGACAGTTTTACTTCTTTTCCAATTTGTATTCCTTTTATTTCTTTTTCTTCTCTGATTGCCGTGGCTAGGACTTCCAAAACTATGTTGAATAATAGTGGTGAGAGTGGGCAACCTTGTCTTGTTCCTGATCTTAGAGGAAATGCTTTCAGTTGTTCACCATTGAGAATGATGTTTTGCTGTGGGTTTGTCATATATGGCCTTTATTATGTTGAGGTAGGTTCCTTCTATGCCCACTTTCTGGAGAGTTTTTATCATAAATTGGTGTTGAATTTTTTCAAAAGCTTTTTCTGCATCTATTGAGATGATCATATGGTTTTTATTCTTCAGTTTGTTAATATGGTGTATCACTTTGATTTATTTGTGTATATTGAAGAATCCTTCTATCCCTGGGATAACTCCTACTTGATCTTTGTGTATAATCCTTTTAATGTGTTGTTGGATTCTGTTTGCTAGTCTTTTTTTGAGGATTTTTGCATCTATATTCCGCAGTGATATTGGTCTGTAATTTTCTTTCTTTGTGACATCTTTGTCTGGTTTTGGTATCAGGGTGATGGTGGCCTCGTAGAATGAGTTTGGGAGTGTTCCTTCCTCTGCAATTTTTGGAGGAGTTTGAGAAGGATGGCTGTTAGCTCCTCTCTAAATGTTTGATAGAATAGTTTTAAGAGTTTTAATAGCTAAACATTATTATCCAATATTAAATTTGACAAAATACAATAATTTAAATTTCTTGAAATCATTATCTGTTCATTTCATGGTGTTATTACAGTGTAGCAACTTAGCTGTAATTCACTATGTTTTTAAAAATGAAACAGTTGGATAATTTATTGATTCACTTCCTTCCTTTCATACCATTTTGTAGACTTTAAGGAAACTGCATTGGTATATATATAAAACCAATCAGATTCTTAAATAATTTAAAATGGAAAACAAAATGAATGAGTCATGAATGAGCATTCTGTGTTGGGAGAAGTTATATGAATATCAGAAAAGAAATCTATGGTTCATGGCATATATTTAAAGTTTATCAAAGAAAATGGCACAGCGTTGTATTTTTTCTTCCTGAGACCTACATTTTTCTTTAGTTTCCAAGGTTATAATATAGTTTTTTTGAAAAAAAAAAAACAACTATTTTAGAAAACTATTTTAGAGAGAGACCCAAGGAGACTTGTAACTGACTTAGACCTTATTATTTCTTGTCCTTAACAGCTCCAAGTGAAAAACAAGTTAAAGCAAGTATGTTGACTAAAACTTGAGAAAACAAAAAGCATATTTCAGCAGCTTACTCATTTAACTTCTGCTATAGACAGTGCTAATGCTAATATTTTAGGCTGACTTATCAAATGTTTCTTGCTCTGATTATTTGTTGTGTTAAACTGATATGCATAATTACTCAACCTTGTCTTTTCTGTGAATCAATTCTTATTAAAGTTTATCTGTAGAGCTTTCACTTGTAAATGTTAATTTTTCCAGGTCATAACCTCTTTTTTGAGTTGTTTATATTTTTGTTTCCCATTTTGCAGAATAATAAGTGATGTTTTCAGTTTCTTAAACACATTAGAAAATTTTCCTAATGATTAATCACTTGATCAAACCAGGAGGCAACATAATTTGTCTACTATGAAAGTTATTGTGTCTTTAATGAAAAGGAAATCCCCAACAATTTTAAGTACTGCTCTTGCAATATCACAATTTTCTTTTAAGGCTTCTATCCTCAGATTTAGAATAAATATTGACTGACAACTATAGTATACCATGGCATTTGCATCAGTAGTGGCTTTGACAATACGTTAAAGGATAAATGCTTTTTTCTTTGTTGGTATTTCTCAATTCAATGAAGTATCTAACAGATGGCCATTCATGAAAATTTAGGCATAATGGCGTATATTTGAGTTTAGAAAAAATATTCTTTTAGCTTCTCTAAGCTTTGTATATAAGATTTAAGATCAAACCTCATTTCTGTGCATTATGTAAATATGTTTACATTTTCCTTTTGATTTAGAGTTGCATAAGTATTAATGATGGTACTAATACAAAAAACAAATGCATGTTTTATTTACTGTCAGGTTTTTGAGACAGGGTATATCATTGGTGAATATATCAGGAAAAAAATTGGAAAATATAATATTGAGTAGCTTGGTGTCTTTTAAAAAAAATTGCAGTCGGAAATGTTTACGTAGACATTGTAGACCTTAAGGAAAGGTGTAACATGAATCTAAAATTCCAGTTATATTTTCATGACAATTTTTAGTTGAATATAAGCTGATTAGAACTTCATATTACAGAGCATTTAGTATGCTAATACTTAGTCTGTAGAAATGCATAATCAAGAAAATACATAAAACAAAACCGATAATTTTGCAGAACTGGTAGAGGACTCTAGATTGAAGATTACTCTGAAAATGAAAATTTTCTTCCTAGAAAAATGTGACATTTAGATAAAAATATTCATTTGCAATAAAAAAAAAAACCCTGTAAGTTCTGCTATCTATGAAACACTCTCCAATCAAGTTTTGAAGAGATCAGCATCTTTTGCAGGAAATTAACAAATTTAGGTTGCCAAGTCATCTTAGACCCAGTATAAAGGTTTCAAAAGAATTAATATTCAATCCCTTGTATGGTTGAACGATTTGGACTTGACATGGGCATTATCTCCCAGTACAAAAGTTAGAGATAATTCATAAATTGTTTAAAATCTCTGCTAGCAATGTGACCATCCATTTCCCCAAATAAGAACTGGTTTTTTTTTGGTCTTGAAATCATACAACAGAAGAATATTTACATAGCTTTTATATACAGTGAGCTATTTATAAAGTTAATGCCTAAGGCATATCATTACAAATACTCTTGAAAATTCCTTCTGTCACCCACATAGTAAGGACACATAGTTTTGTGTGTATAACCTGAATATTTAGGATATGATTTTACATTATCTTAAATTATGAGAGCAAATGAGAGAGTGAGATGTATAGTTTAATTAACATAAAATAAGTATTTATGTGATACAATTTCATGGTATTGAATTAAAAAGGATAGGCGAAATTGACAGGACTAGAGCAAGTCCATGGAAAAAGTAAAAGGTAATTTGTCTTTAGCACTCAGTTAAAGAGATAACAAGAATGTGAATTGAATTTGTGGTGTGGAACTGTTTGCTCTAGGTCTTAAGAAACCAAAATCACTGTAAGAAAAACACTAGAGGACACAGACTAGTTTGGGAGCTGTATCAGTACAGGGTGGATGTTCTCATGGTACCATGAGCTTGAAGAAAAGGGAAGCCCTTCATGTTCAATGATGTAGCAAGCACTACAGAGGGGCACTTAATGCCTCCACATGTAAAGTTATTTGTCAGGGATTATGTGGATGGAGGAAGAGTGCCTTTGACCAACAGAGATGCCAAATCTAGATTTACTATTTCTGCAAGTCAACACAGATTCCTTTATCATCCTGTGTACAGAAATGCCTCAACACACCCAGTTCTCCCTGCAGTCCACTGCACACACACTCCCTCACCCCCACCGCCACACTGGATAGAGACAGAGGGGTTGATGATGTGATTAGTCATTTCCAAGGAGGAGGAGGACCAAGACTCACAGGCATTTCAGATCTTTAACACTCCTCTTGGTGAATCAAGAGGGAATGTAGTAGACAATGCTTAGCAAATATATTTGACCACATCACCCTCTTTTTTCCAAAGAACACTTCAAGGACCAGTATTCCTCAAAACCTTGGGAAGCACTACCATACATTACTTCGTTCCTCATATCGAGGACCATAGGGCTTTGATCATGTATTCCATGTGCATGTTTGACCAGCCTGTGGTCAGTTTGAATTCTGAGTGAAAAAGACACCAAAGACCAGGTCAGGGGCCAAAGTCTAGTTATTTTTAATTGTGGGCCTAAATTTGAAGTAAATGACAATGGTCAGGCATTTTTCATTCCTTGGTTTTAACACTGCACTAGATTTTTGTGTATGCTCAGCCACCAGGCCTGACTCTGCTTATCACCTTAACTACATTTCAGTACCTAAATTTGTGAGTCACATATCTATCTCTTGATCTAGTAATATATGTCAGATCATTCAGGAGAAGCCAGTATGCAGAATTTAAAAATAAAACCCCTTTGGATTTATTTAGTTTTATGATGTTAGAAGACTATTTGGGGACAGCTTATGTTAGTTAGAAAGTGGCATGGCTTTTTCGACATAGTTTAAATATTCTGTCATGGAAATTGCTGGGGGGAAAGATCTATGGACCTGAACTAGTAGATCTGATATCAGGGGTGTGTGTCTAGACCACAGGTTGGATGACATATATGACAGGTATCTCAGTTGTTTAGGGCAATCTGGGTTTATTCATATTATTCTGGAATAATTATTACTAACACCTTCTTTCACCTGCTTAGTTTGGATAATAAATTATATGATCACTACCCAAATCACAGATGATGCTGACTGAATGAACTCAAAATAGTACTGATACAATGCCAGGGGATGGTTTGGGGAGGTTTAAGTGCCAGGAAAACTAGACTGTGAGAAACCTGGGACTGACTTAGATGTTAGGCCAAGATGTGCTTCTTGTTCAATCCCACGTATAGAGCCAAGGTTGGTGTCCTGAGTGCCAGCACAAAATTGGAAAAATGTCATGGTTTGGAGCTTAAGAACATTTATCAAGTTTGGTTCAAAGAGATCCAAGCTATATAGATGAGAACTTGCAGAAGTAGAATCTGAGTTCAGTTTAGACATTAGGAAGTAGAGAGGAGGAGGAGAGAATTTCAAATAGAAAATCAGGAATAAATTTTAATATTGTGAAAATATAATAATGAGTACAGCAAAATAAGTATGAAGTATGACTATTGAGACAAGTACTTTGTGACCTGAGTCTTATTAATAAAACAGTGTCATGATACTGTGTTTTCAAGGGAGCATGGTATTGGTGCAGATCTAAACAAGTTTTCCAATAGGACAAACAGGAACAAAAAGAGACCTAAAATGATTCCACTTGAGCAAAAATCTGATATAAGAAAAAGTAGCCGTTTCAATAATTAGAGAATAGAGAGATTATCTTAAAATGTTGCTGATGCAGTTGGTATTCATTGCCAAAATAAAAAAAAATGTAATTTATTCCTACTTTGTACAGTTCCAAAATATCAACTCCAGATGGTTCAGGGACTTAAATGGTAAAAGTAAAACAAACCATTAATTTAAAGAAAAAAGTATAGGAAGATATATGTATATATTTTCTTGAAGTATGGTTGGATCATAAAAATTATATATATAAACTCAAGCTGTAAACAAAAAATCTAATGTACTAAAATGATTACAGTAAAATTTAAAACTCATCAATAGATGCCATAAAGAGATAAAAGACAAGTTACAATTTTGGAAAAGGTATTTGTAGCATATATAAGTAACTAGAGGTTAGTAATGAAAAATAAATAACTCTAAAAATAAAAAACAAAAAGAGAAAGAACTTGATAGACTAATGCATAGAAAAAATGAGCAAAAGATATGTTAAGATCAAAAAGAAAACAAAACAAGACACAAATTGCCTATAGACATATCAAAAATATTTAACCTCTTAGTAATAATGAAAATGTACTTAAAACCACAATACTATTTTACATATATCAAATTGACCAAAAATGGAGAAGAATGTTCATTCTGGTGATGGTGATGATATGAAGCAATAGAAACTCTCACATACAGTGTTAGTGTGAGTGTAAAATTTGGGGGAAAAATATGGCTTTTATCTAGTGAAGTTAAACAGAGACACATGCTATGTCCTAGCAATTTCACTTGTAAGAAAATTCTTGCACATTGCACCAGGATTCATATTCAGGAATATTCATAGCAGCGCTATTTTATAATAACACATACAGGACATGACCTAGTGTCCATTGGCAGGAAAATGGATACATAATTTGTAGAATACGTATAAGTGGAATACTATACAGTAGTTAAATCAATCAACTACAGTTCCTCATATCAACATGGCTTGTATAAAAAGTTAAACAATTTAAGTAAACAATGAATCAAATAGGGCAGTGACAAAACTGATAAATGATGAGGGGCACTCCACCATTGGGGGGTAGGGCAAAGGTTTTTATAGAGAATACATGGAAGCAAAGCAAAAATATATATTTAACTGACTATAACATATATTGTCTTATTTGGGAAAATTAGTTATTTGGCTAAATAAATAATTTAGTTTGTTTAGCTTATGATAATTGCTTTTGAGTATCACTCAGATTTGAGATAAATCTAGTTGACTCTGGCTTTGGTTTGTTTAGGTAGACCACCAAAGGCACTAAAGCTACCCAAGTCTAATGGCCATCTTGTTAAACAATTTTAACACTGAGTCTCAGCACACGTTTTAAAGGAAGCAAATTATAAGAATTAAAAAGTATAAGTCAATTTATATAGTTATATCACTAAACAATATAATTCAATCTGTAAAAAATGGCCGTAGCTTTGTTTAGAGGTAAATTCATGTAATAAAAAAGGTACAGGAAAATAAAGAAATTATTAATACAAAATATAGGACAGTGATAATTCTGAGATGAAGAGAGAGGTATGCAGTGGTAATAGGACAAGTAAGAGGTTTCAAAGTCTTTGGTGATATTTTATTACTTAAGTTTACAGGGGGTTACAAAGATGTGCATTTTTTATTGCCATTCATTAAAATATGCACATATGTTATCACATATGTTATACACCTTTATGCCTTTCATTTATATTATATCTTTCACAATTAAACAGTCTTAAAAAATAGAGAATGAGAAGATAGAAGTGGTGACACGGAGTATAGCAGCTCTCTGGAGACCATGGTGGACCACAGAGAGATGAGGTAGTTGAGGTAGGGGACACGTAGGAGTGAAGGCCGTGGTGGTCTGAAGTTATAAACGGTGACATTTTGTGTTTCTGAGCTGATGTGAAAGCATCAGTGAAGTGGAAAGCAGATGAAGTAGCAGAGAGAGGCAGTACTTGCAAGAGTAACGCCATTGTCTATGCAAAAGGAGTTGGGATGCAGGGCAAATTTGGAGGAATTGGTATTAAATAGGGAATGATGATCCTATGGGTCTGGAAAGAAGACGAATGGTGCTGTTATGTGCTGGTGAGGTGGTGAAAAGATGAGATAGCCTAGTCTGCTTCTACTTTCTCTATGAAGATCCCAACAGCAACTTGCTTTTATGTTACAGGATGTTGGAAGTTTGAGAAAGGAGGGGTATTCATGAACCACTTGACTAGAAAAATGAGAAAGTAACTTCACTAGGTCTGTGGTAGTATTGCTGATCAGTGCTGGGCGCTCTGTTACACACTGTGACTAGACATTTGAAGTCAGATCTGCAGCAGATGGGGGCCTTCCTGCAGTTTGGATGGCGGCTCAGGTGGCAGGCATAGAGTAGGTTTGGTGTTTTGGCACATGTAGTGGATAGAATTGCATCCTCTCAAAAGATATGTTGAAATCCTAACTAGTACAGTACCTGTGAATGCAAGCTTATTTCAAAAAATGGTCTTTAGTGGTGTAATCATGGTAAGATGAGGCTATACTGGATTAGAATGGGCCCTAAATCCAATGACTGATGCCCTTTTAAAGAGAGGGAGATTTAGAGACACAGACACATTCAGAAGGAAGGCAGCCGTATGAACATAATGGGAGAAATTGGAGTGATGCAGCTACAAGTCAAGGAATGCCAAAGATTGCTGGCAACCAACAGAAGCTAGGAAGAGGCAAGGAAGGATTCTTCCCAAGAGCCTTCAGAGCAAGTTTCAGAGGGCCTTGGCAACACTTTAGTGCTGGACTTCTAGCCTCCAGAACTGTGAAAGAATAAATTTCTGTTGTTTTTAGCCACCTAATAACTTAAAGGCTGCCCTAGAAACTTCATATACCAGATGACTATGGAAACAAACAATAAGTGAATGATTTAACCATGGTTTATTTAAATATAAGCTCGAAAGAGGAAAAGTGAGGACATAAGGGAGATCTGGAGCATTGAGAAACTGGTAAGGTCAAAGGAATGAAAGTATTGATGGGGTCAGAAACTACTTAGAGGAGGTTCGTGAGTAAGTGAACTATAACAGGAAGAGTGGTGCCAGGGAATAGGAATTTTGAAATCAAAGTCTTGGCAGCAAAGAAAAAGTCCAAGATACTTTTTCTTGGTAGTGATCAGAGAAGTGGGGTCTCCAGTTTTCAAAAGTGAGAAGGTCGAGGAAATGAGAGATCCCATGGTTGTATGGATTGTGTCTATAAGTGACTCCCAATCCTGGTTAAATAATAGAGTATCTTGACAAGCTTACAAATAGACAAATAGCCAGGCCTACCTTATCCCAGACTCATTAACTCAGAATCTCAAAGCTCTCTAGTCCTCCCCAGATCTACTACGTCTGAATCTCACAGGCTTATAAAAACTCCCCAGCTTGGTCTAGTGTGAAGCCTGGGTTGAGAGTGGTTCCTAATGAAAAATCACAGTAGTAATAGTGGAGCAGATAACTATGTATAGAAATATTCAATAATTAATGGGACACAGGCATACTGCTGGTTAATGGCAGCAATAGAGCAAGACAGAGCCGGTGCAACCTGATACTGTGGACTTCAAAAGAACTGAGATTTGGAGGAAGCAAGGAGATAACAATCCATCAGAAGTAATAAGAAGTAAGGAGAAGTCATAAACATCATTTATTAATTTAGTTAAAAAGAAGAAGTAAATATACATCACTTCCAGACCCTTTGGTATATAGGGGAAAAATGAACTGTCTCTATTTTGGAAAACCATTTGTAGGGGATGTAGTGTCCTTAGGGAACTAGTTTGGTTAAAGGAAGAAAGTCAAGTGAGAAGAGGCTGAGCATTTAGGGATGTGTGCTATGATAGAGATGACTCAGTGGAAGGACTTTGGAAAAGAGTCTGTTTTTAGGAGAAATACGAAGCCATATAGACTGTTTTCTGCTGGAAGCCTAGGCTCATGGTAGTACCTGAGGCTAACAAGGTTGGGGATTTCAGGGACATTAGTCCTGATTGTGTATTAGGGAAAGTGTGGTAATTAGTTTCCAAAATATGGCCAAGACCAGCAGCATAAGCATCACCTGGGAACTGGCTAGAAATGTAAATTCTTAGGACGTGCCCCAGACCTACTGAATCAGGCCCGTATCTGTGTTTTAACAGCCCTCCTGAGTGACTCTGATGCATGCCAATTTTGAGAACCACTGGTCTAAAGTCTTTCCTGGAAGCTATATAACAGCCAGGGATCTGCTTAGTCCTGGAGCTCCAGGTCTTGAAACAGCCTGAAGAAGTCTTATTTACATGACTTCTTGCCTGAGCTCAAATAGTGAAGCTTGTGGTATCTAATATTGTGAAATTAAAACCTGAAAGTGATGTGAAGGTCTCCTGACATCTGATCTCTCTCACAGCCCAAGGTCTATGGCACAGGGAGGACAAGGGGGCATGAAGACCCCTGTTTACTGGTTGTTCCTAGAGCCTCAGCTGCTGAGTGAGTGCATATGAGTAACAGGGATTATACACATGTACTAGTAAGAATAAAACTAAAAATACAAATACAGATGTCCAAGGGCAACAGCCTTGAATAATCAAAAGCTAATAAAATGAGTAAATAAACTTTGTAAAAATTTACCAGCTTATTGTCATTTTCTAATTTTCGTATGGATCAAAGAAACTTCCACTTTAATTAGCCTTGATTTGAGGTCTAACATTTTGCACTAGGACCAGCATTTCAGGTTATATTTTTGGAAGAGCTCTCCTATCTTTCTGTCTTCCACACTAGATATTCAGAGAAACTCCAAGAAGCCATTTTGGCCTTTTTCAATTTTTTTCTTTTTCTCTCTCTTCAAAGCAATATTCAAATGGAATTTTCTGTAACATTATGGCTAATATTTTATAATATAAAGCAAATTGATTGAGGTCAATTATGGCTTGCCATCCCCATAGTTAAAGGCTAAACAAAGAAGGCCTTTCAAGTGCTCGTCCCCACAATTTATGCATCATTTAAGATTTGACTATAACTAATAAGTCTTCCAGTGTAATTCTGTGGAATAAGCCACCTTTTTTATGGTCACTACTTATATAAGCATAAAATTTAGTACCACCAGAATTGTATCTTGAAAGAGAATTTCTGCATTGTTATTTAAGGAAGTTCATTAGTTACAAAAAAATTCAAGCTTATTCTAGCGTGGTTTTCTCTGCTGCTTGCTTTGCTCTCAGGTGCCACATACGTTTTATCCTTTGGGCAGTTTTAGTCTTGTCTGACTTAGAATACTATAAGATATTGACCTCACATGTCTGATATCCGTTTCTCATTTTCAATCTCTGAATTTACAGAAACTGAACGAGCCAAAGAAGAGGTTGGTGCTGCCTCAACTAAAAAAGGTAAGTGCAGCTTAAAGAAAAAGATGTCATGACTGTAACTTCTTTATGCTAACTCAATGTATTGTTTAGTGCTTAAGAAGAGCTCTGTTTATTGATTTTACTATTTCACTGATATGGAAACCCACTTTTAGTTTTGAAAAATTGAAGAAATGCTGCTGTGTAAGCTCAATGGGATCCCAGTCATCTGGAGAGCATCATATTCAATATACTGATCTATAAGGTTAGCGTTTGAGCAAACGAAACTTTGACTAGTAGAACTTACATGAACAGTGTTTGCTTCGTGCAAGAATAGTATCAAATTTAAGTTTAAATTTAAGTTTTCAAAGCTATGCCTCTTGTCGTGTCTAATCAGACGCAACTATTACGTGAATATTGACTCCTCTCAGTAGACACTCTAAAGAATATCTTTAAGAACATTAATACATGTTAAAAATATTCAATATGATGAAACATTTACATATTCTCTATTCAAAACAAACTGGAACAATTTTGAAATTTGTGATTCTGTTTTACACATAGAAATGAAATCAGTAATGTATTCAATGTCTTTGGAGGAATCTCAAGACACAGTTTAACAACCCTATCCTCAACATGCACTCATACACACACACACACACACACACACACACACACACACACACACACACATACAACAGGAGTACCCTTTCACATACATGCCACTAAAATGGCATCACATTTTTCTCCTTAAAAAATCTTTTATTGCATTTGCTCTATAAGAGAATATATATCAGGACTATAGGGAGTTATAAAATATATATGATACATATCCACATTCTCAATCCCAAGCAACATATATATGGATATAAATGAATACATGGATATAAGTTTATATATTAGTTAATTAAAATATAAATTAATATATATTAGTTATATAAATTAATGCATAAATTAGTACACATGTATGTCTAATGAAAGACAAAAAATTAAATGATACTTAAAGGAAAATATAAACTACTATAAGATAATACTTAATTAGAAGCAATTGAATTATTGAGATTAATTGCTTCCCTTTTTCAAATACAGCTCTATTTATTATTCTGAATTTATAGTAGATAGGAATAAAATCTGTCTCCTAGATAGTTCTTTTCTTAGTAATGTAATATATGTGTGATGTCATTTTTGAGGTAAGTTATCACGATACATGTTTCATTGACATCTTTTACTAGGTATCAGTTTTTCCATAAGTAGCAGAGCCATGAATTTATCAGAAGTCCCTATTAATATATCTCATTCTTTTATGGTGTCTTATTTTGAAATCAATTTTTCTTGTCAACACTAAATGGAATGTGTGGGTAAAACTTGGGTGCTTCAGGATGGATAATGCCATGGTATCAATGACAAGACTAAGAGTCTAAATATAGATTCAGAGGAAGTCACAATCTAGGCATGGATACAGGGTATATGGATCCAGTAAGTGAATGTAAGGTCGGGACATCTATATGTGTTGAAAGCAAGAACAAAAGTGAGACAAAATTGTGTTCAAGGTCTTCAGCCATGGGTGAGACCAGTGGATGTCCAAATAGCAGTATATGGGTTTCATCTGGAATTAGATTTCAGATACTGAGCCTCAGGGAATCCTTGATTGTGAAGACGGTCTGGAGACAGAGTTAAAAAGGAAAGATTCAATAACCAGTAAGTGACCCATGCACAGACTCTGAATCACTTGGAGCCTAGATATTAGGGCAGAAATACAAGCACACATAAATTGGAGTTTAATCAAGTCAAATAGGAGTGAGCAGAGATACTGAATTGATATTGAACCATCAGTTAGTGAATTCAGTGGAATATTCAACCAAGAATGGTCTCTGAGTTTAGAGTAAGGCCAGACATATTGGTTGGGATTAAGTAGACCTGATTGCTAGGCTTAGAGTGAAATATAAGGAGAGAAATAACGTTTTATGAAATTAAACTATTGGCATTAATTACTCTGACTCTAGTTTGTCTTAGATCTCATACCTCAATCATTAATTTAAATATGACTGCATATTAGATTTCCTCTCAACTGTAGAATGAACAGAAACAAGTGTTCCTTCCAAAGCCATCATAAATATTTTGAAACTCAGGTAGAGCTTTACCAATTTGACAAGTTACATATAAAAGTCAAAGGAGATGCTTCTCATTGGTCAAGTAGTTTTCATTTCTCCTCCTCCTCACTGACAATCAATCACACATGAAAATATATATTACTTCATCATACATTTAGTAACCAGTCCCTAATCTCCACAAAACTCCGTATATGTTACAAGATGTCCACCTTTTAGTCCCTTTTAAGTAAGTAGAATAAGATAGTGATTTGGGTTTTCTTTATTTGTTTTTAAGATACTGGAAATTGTTGTTCTACACTGAGGCTTGAATTAGGGACCATGTGTGCAAGGTTAAGTGGAAATTACTGATTTTCTGATTGTTTTAAAATTTTCAAAGTTAAAAGATAATATTTTAAATTAATTACAGTGTGCCAATTTATATCTAGTATAATTATTTGATCTTAAGCCTGCTTTTCTTTGGAGATATATAGTATTTAATCATCAATATGATAATCCTCTTACTGTTTTATATTTGGTTTGCAGCTTTCAAATCATTTTCACTTTCATTCAACATGTATTTATGGATCACATACTATGTGAAAACTTAAGGAAATATTCAGATGTTAATACTGTTCTTGAGCAATTAAAGATAGGGAAAAATATGAATCTTTATTGAGTCCCTGAGTTGTTTGGACCTTAGTTTTTGCTATCAGCTAAAGGTTTTCCATATTATCATAGTTCATGTTTGAAAGCCAACAGGGTAAAGAGATAAATACAGATAAAGAGCCGTAGGAGTTTAAAAATTATTCTTACCTGAGGAAAAGCAAAACATTTATTATACAAGGTGACTTTAGAGTCAAGCCTTAAATAACAGATAGAATTTTGTTATGTAATAATTAGTTGGAAGGGTATCTTGGGCATAGGTAACAGAGGAAGGCAAAGTGGTGGGAAATTGCAGGATGTGTATGAGGAATAACAAGAGTCTCAAAAACACAGTATGAATTAGTACAACCTGTGCTAATAATTCAGTAAAGGGGCCTGATTTTTAAATTGGACTCTACTGCATGGACAATAGGGAGTCAATGAAAAATTGTAAGTATAGGAAATAACACTCAGGTATTTGCTTTAGGAAAGGGCAGGATAGTTAGGAAGCTTTGGCAATAATGTAGGCAACGTGCATTAGGACCTGATATTAGTTATGAGATTGGAAAGAAGGGATATTTTATAAGCACTATTATAAAGTAGATTCAGTGGAATTTGACAATCGACCAGCTTTGGAAGAGGAAAAGTCAGAAAGTATTTAATGACAATAATAAGTTTTCAGACTGGGTGCTAGAAGAATATTGTTGGTATTTATCATAAAAATGAAGAAGAAGGATAAAAATAGTTTGGTGAGAGAAGACAAGATTAATTTTAGACATATTTAAATTATAGTACTGTGGCACATGCAAGTAGCAAGTAGGTGGCTCTAAATGTCAGACTAGAGCTCCAGAGAGTGACAGAACTGGAGATATATCTGTGGGTGTCCTCTGCGTGGGTTAATGGTGGAAACAGTAAGAATCCATGAGCTTTTCATGGATTCTGTTCTCGAGAGAGGACAGGTCTGGGATGTTCTCTGTTCTCGAGAGAGGACAGGTCTGGGATGGAATGCTAGAGAACATTTGCAGGAAGAAAAGCAAGGAGAGTCAAAGAGAAAAAGCAGAAAATAGTGACTAGAAAGATCAGAGGTTAAAAAAATGTAATTGTTATAATTTCATAGTAACCAAGGAAAATAAACGCTTTCAATGACAAAGTGGTTGTCACCAAGTCACTGGATTTGTCAACTAGATAATTATTAATGATGTTCAAAAGAGAATTTTCTGGGGAGTGGCACAACTAAAAGCTAAATGATGACAAATTGATTGAGGGATGATGAAGTGAAAGATACAGACACTGATGCTGAAGAATATTGGTTAGGAATAAAATGATAAATAGGATAGTAGCTTGAGGTTCTTGTTTAGTCTATATCAATTTCTATTTTAATCTCCGAGGTAAAGTGTTTATCCTCCTCTGCAAGACCAGTCTCTCCATTTGGGTCCTTCTTGATCAGTCATTCATGCTCTTTGGTGGCATTATGTTCTTTCTCCTTATTGACTTTTTTTTTTTTTTGGCGGTACGCGGGCCTCTCACTGTTGTGGCCTCTCCCGCTGCGGAGCAGAGGCTCCGGACGCGCAGGCTCAGCGGCCATGGCTCATGGGCCCAGCCGCTCCGCGGCATGTGGATCTTCCCGGACTGGGGCACGAACCTGTGTCCCCTGCATCGGCAGGCGGACTCTCAACCACTGTGCCACCAGGGAAGCCCTCTCCTTATTGACTTTATTCCTAATTTTGGAAATATTATTCTCAGTTTAAAATTACTTTTTTCTAGATTCCCATATCTCTGTCTACTATTTTCTCTCCTCTGTATCTTAGCCGGTCTTCTGGATGTTGGAGTGTTAACACTGCTTCTTACCTCCCACAAAGATGAGGCTTCTGTTCCTACTGTGCTTCCGATAATATGGCCAATGCTGAAGACATTATCATTGCTGAACCAATGGAACCATTCCAGTCCTCACATTATTGGATGTCTCAGTGGCATTTACCACTTTGTCTTTTCTCTAAGCGTCTCTCCTGTTGGGTGAGCATGACAACAGTCTCCTAGTTCTCACCATATTCTCTGAGCTTTATTTCTGACTTCTTTGTGTGTTTTTCTTTGCTTCCCCTTAATTATTGGTGTTCCCCAGATTCCATCATTAATCCTCTGAACTTCTTATTCTGTAGCCTCTCTTCGTGAGATATGCACACTCTCAAGGTTGAAACTCTGCCTTTTAGCCTGAAGATCTCCAATTCTATGTCTTCATTTCAGGACTTCTCTGGCAAAGAGCTTTTCCCTGAAAATTTCAGGCTTGTATATTCAAATGTCAAATAAACACCTTTA